ATGTACACTCTCACCAAAGCTGCAGCCTTGTATATGCTTTTAAAAGCTCTTGGAAATTCCCAGTTAAAACATAACTTTATTTTCTATTCAGTTACTCATTTTGTGTGCTACATTTCTACTTTCTAAGTGCTATGTACCTGAGGATTCAACTATTTTACCTTAAACAAAAGTCCTCAAGAAACTTTGAGAAGAATCTAAAGCACACAAAAAATTTCCTCAATCCATTCAACAAATATACATTGAGTACCTGTCATGTAATCAGCAATGTCTGTGAGCTAAACATCCAAGAAGGAGCATGAAGAGTATGATACTCTTCTCTGTAAAGTTTTTATTAAGTTCAGCCATTCAACATGGCACTGTTTTAACAGTGACAGATGTGAGAATGGATTCCACAGATAAAATAACCCCAAGGATAATATTCAATTTGAAGAATTTAATTCTTAATTTTTATGCTCTTGCTTTTATTTAAATTCCTTTTACTGCAATGATATCAACATTCCTAATTAGTTCAGTAAGCAGCACATGGGTGGTTCACCTCATATATTATTTAAATATATGTGTATTTATTTATCTCATATTAAAATGTATTTTTCCTGTGACTATGCCATAAAATGACTAGCAGAATATTCAAAGACACTAATATAAATGCATCATATTTTGTAATAATTATCCTCAAAAATTCATAAAGTCCATCAAGTGAATACTTTAATACAAACAGAGCTAAAAATAAGGTCTGCCACATTTGAAATACAACGTTTAGATGACAGCTAGTAGAAGATGAGCTTTTGGCCTGACAGTTCAAACTCATCAGATGTTTGTAGAATTTTTCTCATAAGTATTGATTGTTTTTATGAAGAATCCTCCAGATTTTATTATAAATACTATTTCTTAAAGATGTATAAATTTATTAATGTATTTTAAAGGCATATCAACCAGGGGGAGGGCCAGAGAGAGGAATCTTAACTGTACAAATGGTGAAATAGCTAGTTCTAGACCAGGCCAAAGCCTGGTCCCCCACATGTGTGGCAGGTACCCAGGTCTTTAGGCAATCTTCCACTGCCTTCCCCAGGTATATAAGTGGGAACCTGGATCAGAAGTGGAGTATCCAGGGCTGGAACCACCACTCTGTTATACGTTGGTGGAATTGCCAGAGGTAGCTTAGCACAATGCAACATGCCTATACCACAAGGAATACTTTTTAAGAATCTACTTTACCAGGATTTTTATACTTACCGTATTACATCTATTTGTATCACACAATGGAATAGCACCATTCTATTTTATTCTATTGTAATAAAAAGTGTTAATATCCATTTTTTCATAAAATAATCTGAAACTATTGTTCTTATTAAATGATTCAAATGTATTAATTAATGAATATCAAGGATATTTTGTCCTGAGACCAGAAATTCAACTTGAGTAAATTCCACTAAAGACCCATGGCTCCCGTCAGCCCTGTGTTTTTTCTTTCTCAACCTTGGGTAATACAATCAATCACTCACTCTAACTGACAAGCTCTCACCAAGAAATGCTGTATCCACAAAAAAAGGTTCACATCAACATTCAGTCCAATGTCCTTTTTCACTGATGCTTAAAAAGCAGTAAAATCACTGAGAGGAATTTTAAAATGAAAAAAAAAAAATGCTGAAGTTTGTAGCACTATTTATTCTCTGCAGTGTACTCAATATTAGAAAGACAAACACACTTGCTACTTTCATCATGTGGACTATAAATATTTCCTGATTTCACTGCTCATTTATTTTCTACTTATCCCTTTGAAGTCTGCAAGTTCTCTACTACCTAGCTACTCTCCAATATGCTAAAAATATCCTACACAAAGATACTTTACAGTGACTTTTTTTTCAGAGAGTGAAGATGATTTTTGTATTGTTGTATTCGTTGTATTTTTAAACTGAATCTTAAAGGGTTGTCTTTCTCTACATCCTGGGTATTCTGCACCAGTTGTCTTAATTTCTTCATTGAGTTCTGTTGTCATGCATGATCGTGTTTCAATGTATTTTCCTTGTGCAGCTCATTTTCATAAAAGGAGCGGACATGAGCTTCATCTTCCCACTACGTTTCAATGTTGGTAATTGTGGTGAAGACCCAGAAAGTACTAGCATTCATGCTCTTAAGAAGGAGAATTTTGTGACACTCTTCAATACCCCATAGACCTTGAGACATTTTAGGCAACGTACAGCCAGAGTTACAGAGAAAGAGAGAGAGAGGGAGAGAGAGGTCTTCCATCTGCTGGTTCACTTCCCAAATGGCCGAAACTGAGCCAATCCGGAGTCAGGAGCCAGGAGCTTCTTCCAGGTCTCCCAAGCGGGGGAATTATCAATAAACGTTTACCCTAATAGAAACATCTCTCCCACAATTCCTGGAGCCTTCCAATCTTTCTCTTTCTTAATGTAAGATACCCAAAGATTTGGCCATAACAGGATTAGAGATCTCTTGTACAATCACTGAAAGAAAAAATGACAAGAGTGTACAATTTTCCTACAAAAACAGACACACTGCTCTTCTCAACATATTGCTTTATAGTTCTTGCTTGTAAAGAAGTGGAAAGAAAAATGTTAACTCAGTTTTATCAAATTGTTAATACCTTCCATAATTTTTTAAAGACTCTCTGATTTCTTTTATTTGACAGATAGAGTTAGACAGTGAGAGAGAGAGAGAGAGAGAGACAGAGAAAAAGGTCTTCCTTCCGTTGGTTCACCCCCCAAACGGCCAGAGCTATGCTGATCTGAAGCTAGGAGCTAGGTGCTTCCTCCCGGTCTCCCATGCGGGTACAGTGGCCCAAGCACCTGGGCCATCCTCCACTGCCTTCCCAGGCTACAACAGAGAGCTGGACTGGAAGAGGAGCAACCGCGACTAGAACCCGGCGTCCATATGTGATGCCAGTGCAGCAGGCGGAGGATTAACCAAGTGAGCCATGGCGCTGGCCCCAACATCTTACATAATTTTAAACATCTTTCGTATAGCACTTAGATCATAAGAAGAAAAGCTAATTTTTAAAAATATATATGAAGCAAATATTTAATAATTTTAAATTAGCATAGGAAATAATCAATTTTGAGATATTATAGTAATTGATTTGGAGGAATAGTGAGGCTTCTGACACCCAAATCACAAAATCAAGTTGAATTGTTTCTTGGCAAACTCAGAAATGATATCCAGATCTTTGTCAATGAGAAGCATTACAGTTTTTTATTATAATGGATTTTAATATTCCTTGATCTATGAGTGTTGTCTTACAATACAATGCAATACGATGCAATAATTTTAGATTAAAAATGAAGAAAGAGACCGTCGCCGCGGCTCACTAGGCTAATCCTCCGCCTTGCGGCGCCGGCACACCGGGTTCTAGTCCGGGTCGGGGCGCCGGATTCTGTCCCGGTTGCCCCTCTTCCAGGCCAGCTCTCTGCTGTGGCCAGGGAGTGCAGTGGAGGATGGCCCAAGTGCTTGGGCCCTGCACCCCATGGGAGACCAGGATAAGCACCTGGCTCCTGGCTCCTGCCATGGGATCAGCGCGGTGCGCCGGCCGCAGCGTGCTGACCGTGGCGGCCATTGGAGGGTGAACCAACGGCAAAGGAAGACCTTTCTCTCTGTCTCTCTCTCTCTCTCTCTCTCACTGTCCACTCTGCCTGTCCAAAAAAAAAAAAAAAAAAAATGAAGAAAGAATTCCAAATATAGTCTATGGTATTATAGGTTTCCTCATGGACCTAAAGTCTTAATGTAACTATACTATATTTCCATTTTTCTGTTTTATACTCTAAACTGGGAAGAGATACATTTTCAACTATAAAAGAAAAAAATACATTGTCCTTTCCTTTTCACAGTCTCATTAAAAAAGCTAGTTGTTAAGTTGTTAATTTTGTGACTGAACAAAATGTTTCTTCAAGCAGGTATGGAGCTAAGACTTTCAGAAGCTAACTGAAGGAGATTGATGGCTAGAATAACAGATGCAAATAAGGGAGGAATTTGTAATCACCACACACACACACACACACACACTCACACACAGAGCCAAGTTTCATATAAAATAAGCTTCCACTTAAATGATATGCACACCACCATAGAGACCTATTTTACAACCTACTCTGACTCCTCTTTCCCTTTAAGAATTCTCCTGCTGTCTGGCAAATTGAGAAGAGCCAGATTTGGGAATAAAACCTGGTCCTCCTCTGGGTGACATCTTGAATAAACCTGCTAGCTTGTCTCAGTTCTAATATATTGCCTGTTCAACCTTGGACAGCCCATGCCTAATTCTAACTGGTAAAAATAAATCTGTTGCTAAATGAGCAAATATTTGATGGGAGGTTTTGAAGATCTTCTCCATCATTTGAATTTACCAATCTGTGAAACTAGCCTGGAACATCTGAGTTTTTTCAACTTTTATTTGGACCAGACCAAGGCCAGGAACCTGGAACTCAATATTGTTTTCCCACATGATTGCTAGGGCATCGAGCAGTTACCTGCTTTCTCCCAGGGTTTGTGTTAGAAGAATGTGTAGTTGGAAGGGGTGCTGAGATCTTAACCTAGGCACTTTGATACAATGTAAAGGCATTCCAAAAAACAACTGAATTGCTGCACTATGCACTAGTTCCAATGTTTGAGTTTAATGGATAAAAATAACACCTTCCAAACTCTTTAATAAGAGTATCCCTCATTTAGAGAAAAAGGAAAATTGTAAAGAATTAAAAATTAGTTATATTACGTTGTTATCAGATGTGTGACAGAATAGCAGTGAGCATATTAGCCAAGTTTAATGAAAAGAAGTAGAGAGTATCCCTGACAGCCCGGGTAGGCATCTTGGTACAGAACATAGAGCCAGTCTCCATTCAGACTGGAGCAGACATGGATATGGGTGTAGCTCCACCATTTCTCTTCCCTCTTCACAATCCTGGGATATTGTGGGTGAGGGGCTTTCTGTGCATGGAAAGATCTCTGTGAGTGAGATCCCAGTGGAAAGAACAGGTCATCAAAGAAGGAGGTACCTTTCTCTGAAGGGAAGAGAGAACCTCCACTTTGACTATGACCTTGTCTAAACAAGATAAGAGTCGGAGAACTCAGAGGGCTTCCATAGCCTTGGAAACTCATGACTGGAGCATAGGGAGATTACTGATGCCATAGACAGGAGTGTCAATTGGTAAAGTCAACAACAGGAGTCAATGTGCTCTTACTCCTCATGTAGGATCTCTATCCTTAATGTGCTGTACATTGAGATTTAATGCTATAACGAGTACTCAAACAATATATTTCACTTTGTGTTTCTATGGGGGTGCAAACTGTTGAAATCCTTACTTAATGCATACTAAACTGATCCTCTGTAAAAAAAAAAAAAAGAAATTATCAATTCCCAACTTGACTCTCACTGGGATTAAACATGACAATAGGTCTGCTCTGATTTCATCATCATTTAAAAAAATCATCTATTATTTTTCACTTTATGTTTCTGTGTGGGAGCAAACTGTTGAAATCCATACTAAGCTGATCTTCTGTATATTAAGATAATCAAAAATGAATCTTGATGTGAATGGAAGGGGAGAGGGAGTGGGAAAGGGGAGGGTTGTGGGTGGGAGGGACGGTATGGGGGGGAAGCCATTGTAATCCATAAGTCGTACTTTGGAAATTTATATGCATTAAATAAAAGTTTAAAAAAAATTAAAAAAAATGAAATAAAGTAGTCAAAAACTAATATTAAATATCTAACAGTGCCTTTCAGCATGTTTGATGAAAGGAACATATACAAGTCTGGAAGCTGCTTATTCAAACAGTGTGGAGTTTCAGGCCATTGCATGTGCGGATAAGATAGAGATTAGAAGTTCAGAATGTCCAGGCTGACAGACTTTGTTGAATGCTTTAAATTGGTGTTTGTAACTCTTGGAGGACTTGTGTCCTGAGGTGTGATGACAAACTAAACTGGATACTATTCTGTTTCATCCTGTGTTTTTTTTTTCCCTATGAAATGACATATATTTAGTTTTTAACTGATTCAATGTGTTTTGTAGTTACAATTCTAAGAGCATAATTATATTCTCTTCCTCTCTCACATCCACCCCCTGCCTCATACCCTCCTTCCTTCTACTTTCTTTTCTTTTTTTAATATTTTGCGATAACATATTTTACATTTACATTATAGTAAAAAGGCTTAGTACTTCACAAATAAGTATCTTTTTTTTTTTTTTGACAGGCAGAGTGGACACTGAGAGAGAGAGACAGAGAGAAAGGTCTCCCTTTGCCATTGGTTCACCCTCCAATGGCCGCCGCGGCCGGCTCACTACGGCCGGCACACCACGCTGATCCCATGGCAGGAGCCAGGTACTTATCCTGGTCTCCCATGGGGTGCAGGGCCCAAGTACTGTGCCATCCTCCACTGCACTCCCTGGCCACAGCAGAGAGCTGGCCTGGAAGAGGGGCAACCGGAACAGAATCCGGCGCCCCGACCGGGACTAGAACCCGGTGTGCCGGCCCTGCAAGGCGGAGGATTAGCCTAGTGAGCCGCTGCGCCTGCCACACATAAGTATCTTAACAAGTAAAAAGCAAAAAAAAAAAAAAAAAAAAAATTAACCCCTCATGCACACACAGGTTTGGTGGGAATTTAGACAGTGGCTACAAACAATAATTGAAAGGAAAAATGACAATTTCACCATTATACAGTAAATTTTAAAATAATCACAGAGCACTAAAACTATAGTAGTATAGTGTTCTTAACCACCGGTTTCACAAAGGTACAAAATGAAACTTTACAAAAACCACTGGTTTCACAAAGGTACAAAATGAAACTTTCCAAACTCTATTTCCTGGAGCTGGCGCTGTGGCAGAGTGGGTAAAGCTGCCGCCTGCGGTGCCAGCATCCCATATGGTGCTGGTTCAAGACCTGGCTGCTCCACTTCCAATCCAGCTCTCTGCTGTGGCCTGGGAAAGCAGTAGAAGATGGCCCAAGTCCTTGGGCCCCTGCACCCACATGTGAGACCTGGAAGAAGCTCCTGGCTCCTGGCTTCGGATGCTCTGGGCATTGTGGCCATCTGGGGAGTGAACCAGAGGCTGGAAGACCTCATTCCCTCTCTCTCTCTTTGCGTTTCCTCTCTCTGTGTAACTGTGACTTTCAAGTAAAATAAATAAATCTTAAAAAAAAAAAAAACTATATTTGCAGCAATATATTTCTTTCTCCTTTCTTTTTTAATTTTAGCTCCCACATATAAGGCAGAACAGGCAGTATTTGTCTTTCACGGTCCGGCTTATTTACTCAATGTAATGTCCTCCAGTTGTGTCATTTTGCTGCAAATGGTAGAATTTCTTTCTCTTTTATAGCTGGATAATATTACATTCTGTATATATACCATATTTTCTTTGTCCTTTCAACTGATGATAGACACCTTGCTTGAATGCAAATCTTGGCTGTTGTGAACAGTGCTGCTGTAAACATATTGGTGAGGCTATCTCTGATACGTTGTATTCAAGTATTTTTAGTATTTACCCAGCAGTGGGATTGCTGGATCATATGAGAATTCTAATTCCGGTTTTTAAAAAAAATCTCCACAGTGTTTTCTACCTTAGCTGCAATATTTTACATTCCCACCAAAGTGTGTAAGTGTTCACCTTTGTCCACATCCTTGTCAACATTTGTTATTTTCCGTGTTTTGAATGTTGGCCATTCTGACGGGGTGAGGTGATCTATAATTGGTGTTTTAATTTGCATTTCCCTGATGGTCAGTGATGTTTAGCACTTTTTCATATATTTATTGGACATTAATATTTTTTATTTTAAGAACTGTCTATTAAAGTCCTTTGCCCTTTTTTAAGGTGGATTGGTTAATTTTTTATTGTTGGATTTTTTTAAGTTGATGATGTTTTCGGGATATTAATCCTTTGCAGGTGGTTTGCAAATATTTTTCCCCATTCTTTTGGATGTCTCTTCACTCTATTGTTTTCTTTGATGCACAAAATCTCCTGCCCTTTTTTTTAAATGAAAGACTTTTAACTTAATAATAGTATTAGAGAAATAAACTAAAATAATAAATATGGATCATACATACAGAGGTAGCAGAGTTAACATATACTCAAAATCATTTATTTGTCTCTAAAGCTATGATTTTAAACTTTTAAAAATTTTATTGGCCGGCACCGTGGCTCAATAGGCTAGTCCTCCGTCTTGCGGCGCCAGCACACCGGGTTCTAGTCCCGGTTGGGGCACCAGATTCTGCCCCGGTTGCCCCTCTTCCAGACCAGCTCTCTGGTGTGGCCCAGGAATGCAGTGGAGGATGGCCCAAGTGCTTGGGCCCTGCACCCCATGGGAGACCAGGAGAAGCACCTGGCTCCTGGCTCCTGCCATGGGATCAGCGCGGTTCGCTGGCCGCAGCGGCCATTGGAGGGTGAACCAACGGCAAAAGGAAGACCTTTCTCTCTGTCTCTCTCTCTCACTGTCCACTCTGCCTGCCAAAGATAAAAAAAAAATTATTAATATAAAGAGAACCATGTGAGTTCACTGAGCCTTAATACGCCCATTTGTAGAAAGTAAAGTGTGGTGGTGGTTAATGATTCCTACCTGTTGTAAAGATTGGTATTGACAGTGCATGCAGAGTAAAATAATGACCATCTCTGTTGAATGTCTAAAAAAAAATAAAGAAGAAAAGCAAGGGAATGATGGATGTGGGACTCAGTATGGGAGCCACAGACTAGAGCACTCAAAACTCCTGCTTTTATTACAGTCCCCCTGTGCTTTGGGGGCCTCATTTATGAAGTTGTCCCTCACAACCACATCATACACTATTTCCCTTACATTTGCTACCAGCAACTCCATAGTTTCATATCTTAAATTTAGGTCTTTAATCCATCTTGATTTGATTTTTGTACATGGTGAGAGGTATAGATCTAATTTCATTTTTCTACATATACAAATCCAGTTTGTCAGCACCATTTGTTGAAGAGACTATCCTTACTTCACTATCTCGTCCAAACACTTTTGTCAAAAATCAGTTGGCTATATGTATGTGGTTTAATTTCTGGCCTCTCTATTCTGTTTCGTTGATCTTATTATTGGTTTTTATGCTTGTACCATGCTTTTTTTATTCATTATGATATTTGATTTTTTTTTTTTTTGACAGGCAGAGTTAGACAGTGAGAGAGAGATAGAGACAGAGAGAAAGATTTTCCTTTTTCCATTTGTTCACCCCCCAGATGGCCACTACAGCAAGCACGCCAATCCCAAGCCAGGAGCCAGGCACTTCCTCCTGGTCTCCCATGTGGGTGCAGGGCCCAAGCACTTGGGCCATCCTCCACTGCCTTCCCGGACCACAGCAGAAAGCTGGACTGGAAGAGGAGCACTGGGATAGAACCAGCGCACTGACAGGGACTAGAACCCTGAGTGCTGGCACCGCAGGGGGAGGATTAGCCTAGGGAGCCACAGCGTCAGCCCATACCATGCTGTTTTAATTACTTTAGCCTTGTAGTATGCTTTGTGATATTGTGGTGCCTCCAGCTTGATTTATCTTTTTCAGGACTGTGTTGGCTATTCTGGGTCTTTTGTGATTCTATATGAATTGTAAGATAGTTTTTTTCTATTTCTGTACAGAAATTCATTGGATTATTTTAGAGATTGTAGTGAATCTGTAGATTGTTTTACATAGTATAAACATTTTAATCATATTGATCTTCAAATCTGTGAGAAAGGAATATTGTTCCATTTTTTGGGTCCTCAATTATTTCTTTCATCTTTGTTTGATAATTTTCTTTGTGGAGATTTTTCACTTCATTGGTTTAATTTATTACTAAAGATCTGATTTTTTTTGGCTATTGCAAATGGGATTTTCCTTATTTCTCCTTCTCTGAGTTCATCAATAGTGTACAAAACCTACTATATTTTGTATGTTTGATTTTTTAAACTCCATCTTCATTGAATTGGTTTATCAATTCTAACAGCTTTTTTTTTTTTGGTGGAATGTTTAGGTTTTTCCATTACAACATCATAGCATCTGCAAACACAACTTCTTATTTTCCAATTTTGATTCCTTGTATTTCTGTCTCTTCCCTATTGCTCTTACTAAAACTCCCATTACTATATTGAATAAGAGTAGTGAAAGTAGAAATCTCTGTCTTGTTTCAGATTTGAGGGAAAATG